TTTAATTATGGGAACAGGGTCTCTTCTGGTTACACAGTGAAAAGCTAGCAGTATTTTCCCAAGTATTTTGCTGTGATTACACTTGCGTGTAAGAAATTGTCCCAAAAAAACCCTACAGATATTTTATTAGCTGTAGCCTGATTACTGCTGTCTGTGTCCAAAGCACTACTTTCTCCTAACTCATACGGAAACAGCACATTTAGATTTGCATGCTTGCTTCAGTGCCAAGATGTCGTACTCCTCAAGGGGAAATTCTGGTCAGAGTAACATTATGTTGAGTGAATTTTACATATGCCAAGCCAGTTATGATTAACCATTTAACACAATCTTAAAAAGGCTGTCTAGCTGGAAATCTGTGAGTCATCATTGGAATATGATTTGTATAAAATGAATGGTTAGTATCTTTTTCTACAGCTATTCTCAGTGTCAAAAGCAGCATCCCCTGTGGTACCCTATATACTAGGAAAGACAATTTTAATGTGTAAAATATGTTAAGCTTTCTACTCCAGATGCCCTTCAGAGTTAAGGCTATGCCACTCAGAGTAGAAACTGGTGACACCAGGGACACAATGTTTCTGAGAACAGGTTGGGTCCATGGGCTCCAATAACGGTTTGGGTCCATGGGCTGTGTCCACTGCAGTTTGTGCCATCACAGTCCAAATCAATGACCTCTCCAACAGCAATGTCTGTGAACCACCAAGTATTATCAACTTCATACCGGTTCTCATAAATCAGTCACCAGCATAGGTCAGAGGCTGAAGTGGCCAACATATATCTGGAGATGCTGGGACAAAAACGCCATCGTTAAAAATACTCAGAATGGCCTTGATTTAAAGAAGGAACTACTTATCTATGCTGTACAGCCAAAATATTTCCATTTTGCAAGATGTGTAAGGATGCTTACCTATAGGTTTATGTTGTGTTCTGTGACAAGAATGACTGTGAGTGGTTGTGATCATCAATGATATCCCACACCATGCTGTCATTATACCATTTGGTGTCCAAGTCTCTCTAAAGGCATCACTACAGCAACCTGTATGAGAACTTTTGCTGCCCTTCTGAAAGCAGCTGCACAAAATCTGCAGAAAAATAGTCTGTTACTTACCCATCTAGACAGCCACACCATGGCAGCTCATCATCCTTTAAATTGCTGTGGGAAAGAATTGCTTACATAGTAGCTGAAAATGTGGCACTACTGAAGTTTAGGAGAAGAGATACCCAAAGCAACAAACATGCTCAGAGTTCGCTAAGCTTTGACAGTCAAAAATGATGGGCAAGAGTCCTGGATACCCCTCAATCAAAGCAGGAAAGGCACATACTTCTCTGTAAGATGTTACCCCAGTGTTAACCAAAAGTGAATGCCATGTGCTATGAGGAATACCGTCAATGCCCAAATACTCCCCATCTCCAAGGTATGGATAAAATAAGCTCATCAAAAAAAGTCTTTGAGAATCAAATTCCTAAAGCAATCTAAGTTCAGATCAGGACAAAAACCGTGTTTCAGCTAGGCAGTCGTAGTGATGACTCACATCAAAGATTGCTTCCAACACAGTTTCAAAACAGCGACAGGCTATGTGGTTATGGCACACTTTGGTGGAACAGGCTGCTCTTAATAGTGTCAAAAATAGTGTACTGTAAATTAATACTGTGTTTAGTGATGGGTGCACACACCGAGTGCAGACATGCAGTGACGCGCGTTAGTAACTCTTGCAATGGGATAGGGGGTCCTTCAGAACTCTGCATCACCGCTTTTTAATGTTTGTATCAGCAATACTCTGCTAATTTTTACAAAAAGATCATTAAAAGGGTCAAGGGCCGCTGTCCATCCTGCAGGCTGTGACTCAGTCCAGAAAGCCTGTCTCCTCTTCTACCTGAAGAGCCACCCTACTCAGAAACCTTTGAGTATTGACTTCTACAGTATCAAACTTAAATTCAATGACATTTTGTAGTATGTTGAAAGGTTCCAAGCCTTACATACTGTGTATGTATGCTATCAAGATGAAGGGTAGAAGCATCTTATTTCAGAGTACGTGGGGGGAATATTCTTGAGCCACAGTGAAATAATAAAGGAACCTCTGTAATAAATAGAGCTATCAACTACTTGGGTCATTAGACCATTACTGGAAATAAGAGAAAAGGAGTGTGGCCAAGAATCAAGAACTATTGACAGGAGCTGTTCCTACGTGCATTTTGGATGAGAGTTTCTATCTCAGCATGACTGATACCTATCCTGTTTGCAACAGCATTCTCAGACCCAAATTTCAAGATGCAAGCCTAAGAATTGACAGGTCAATTTGTTATTAAGTGTTCTTTAACACAGTTCCAGTTTCAGTCCAGCTCAGCCTGTTTGATGTTGAGTAATGGAGAATTTGAGGTCTGAATATGTAGTGTCAAGAGGGGTTGAAAATTCTAAAAACTCTGTGTGTTTGTAGTTGTGGAAGGTTGAAATTATCCATTTATTTTGACCAAGGAAAATAGTGAGGTAATTTCAAGAAAGGGTACTTGTTTACAACAGTATAACAAATCTGGAGCTGATAAAACTGATACCACTAGAAGCATTGCAATATACAAAAATCTTTTTTACTTACTTAGTAGTCTGCTCTGCATCAAAGCTGAAAAGCAACAGCGTCATATTGTATCTTATATCCACTAACGAGTTTTTTGTAAGTACCCAGCATGTACCTCACAAGAGGGGTGGGATTTAGTCTGGCTATAAAGTTAAATCATATTCAAGCACAGAAAATATGCAAGTTCTATTTATGGAGAAAAGACAGTTAGAGAAGGATAATGTTTTATTTTTTAATCATAAAATTCTCACAAATATGTAAATGCCATCTTCCCCCTAGTCAATTAGAAAGCTAAACTTAGAAACAACAAAATCTTGTTTTTATGAAAGGTCACTGGGATTGGAGGCATTTGAAATCCTTCTTCCAGAACTAGGGTCCAGGATTCTTCTTCAAACCATTTTTTAACTGGAAACATGTCTTAGGCATCTGGTCTTACATGCTGGTAAGGTATTTTGCCCCTAGCATCCATTCGTCTTATGCCTGTATTAGAGGACCTTTCACATCCCTTGTTGCTACCTAACTCATTATTCAGGTTTTCCCCTACCCTGATGCCTCTTATCATGACAGAGGAAAATGTGGTTGCTTTAACATGATTTGTTCTCAGCAAAATCACATTGGCTGTTGCTTGTGCTTTTCGTAACTTTCAGAACTCTTGATTATGAATTGTTTTATTATTTGGTCTGTTATTGCTCCAGGAATTGAAGGGAAGCTGACCAGTTCTTAATTCCTCAGCCTTTTTCCCAGCCTTTCAAAGACGCATGCTGTGTTTCCCTTGTCTAGCCTGCCAGAACTTTCTACGTCTTTCCCAAGTTTTGAGGCTATCAGTTAGTTCTCTCAGTATCACGGCTGATTTTTACCCGGCCATGACAATTTGAAAACATCATACTTACATAACCCTTCTCTTGGCTAGACCAAGTTTGTATGCCCTTTTCTTTGCTGTTGGTTTTACTAACATCTGCTCACAGTTAAGCCTTTTAGGGAGGACTGAAACTATCAGATACTGAACACTTCTGTTTCCTTGTGCTGTTAGCTAGTAGATTGGAAGAGTAGAGAAGCAAAGTGTTCCCTTTGCCTTTTTGTTACTTTATTTTCTTATCATCTCTCATGTCCTTTGCAGTTCTGTTTCATTTCATGCCATTGAACTTTTTGACTCTTGAGCATAAGGGATGGTTGGGCAGCATCAAAAAGAGTGTAAGTGATCAGGAGGGAGTTGTAGCAATCTTGATGGAAGAATTGGGGAAAGATGAGTGGAGAAGTGGACTTCCTTCTCCATCCAATTCTGTCTCTGTGATAGAGAAGAACGCCTCCTCTGTCTTGTAGATACACATACATGAGGGTTCAGTTTTGACTATGGAATCATTATATGCAGATGTGAAGAAAACAAACTGACAATAAGAGAAGTGAGCAGCAAATTCGTATTGCTCATACCTGCTTGGGAGCTTTCTGAGTTAAATACTGTGTGTATACAACTGTTAGATGGTGAATAGGCTTGTAAGTCAACTAAAACTGATGGGAAGGCTTACGCAAGAATATAATTATACGCAAGCTGGCACATTTTCAGAATTGCCTACTTACTTATGTGTGCAAAATCTGTGTCCCAAATCTAGTTACATTTTCTCAAGTATGTGGTGGAGTTTGTAACATATGCATACCATCAAATACGTAATCTTTTGTATGAATAGCGAAGGAATCCCTTTTGCTGTTACAGGTTGGGTTGTGCATTTGCAGAGTTTGTTCCATAAAGTTAGTGTGGATGCCAGTACCCTTTAAAAGAAGCGAACAGTAACTTCTGCTTATGGGCTGTGATTGTCTGAAGCTGTTTTTCATGTCCAAATAAATGTATTAGCTTAAAATGTGGTGTTTTAATGGAACTTGACATACATCGTGTAGATACACATGAAGTGTAATCTTATTAAACCAAAATGCTTGGCTGAACCTGGGCTTTTTTGCATAATGTAATTTTATATGAAATGGTGAATTTTTAGTGCATCAGGATGAAAAAAATCTCTTTGCATTGAAATTTAGGTCTCATGGTGGGGTTTCCCAAATTGTCTTGCAATTCAGTTCACAATTAGAAACCACCAGTCCCGGGAGAACTACACTCTAACTGTAAACAGAGCATTAATAAAATTAAAATTTGAAAGGATAAATTTGAAGTTAAATTTGAAAAGTTTGGAGTACTGTGTATTTCTCAAACCATGATGAAGTATCTTGAAACTGCACTTCTTAAATCAAATATAATATAAATTTTCCAACACTTTTTAAAATTAATTCTTCCTAAATTGATTTTATGCAGTGGTTAGCAGTAACTTTCCTGTAAAAAAATGATGTGTAACTTTATGCTGAAAACAGTTCAAAATAAAATGCTGGTTTTTTAATGTTATTCCAAAGTGAATTTGACATGCTTCTTTTTTGTCTTGCTGTCTTGCACAGGTATCATTTTTCTTGTTCATTATTTTTGTGGTGTATACCATGCTGCCCTTCAACATGAGGGACGCTATAGTTGCCAGCGTCTTGACCTCTGCATCTCATACGATTGTGCTGAGCGTCTGTCTATCAGGTACAGCTGTTGTAAAGGAACACTTGGTTTGGCAGGTAGGTGCTTTGTGGAATTAATGATTAATTGTGCACTGAATAGCCTGGTAAATGAGCCAGGAGTGCCTCAGTGGGTGCTTGGGAGTATAAACTTATTTCTCTCTTCATTTCTGAATTGCTACAGACTTAATTCATAGGTGGTCACTTTGTAATAATGAGTGTGTCACTAATGTTATGTCTTGCTGAATTGCATGCTTAAGTGGTGGAATCTACAGCCGCGTAGCACTTACCAATGTAAAAACTAACACTGCTCAAAAAATTATGTGATGCAGCCATATTGCTGTGGATGCATTACCGCTCTGGTATGTAAACCACATTGCTCCTCTCCCCATGACATTAAAGCCTAACTTCTAAGGCCAAGGATTTTTTTCAGGTATCAGTGTTATCTTTGACTCAGAAAAACATTGTTCCTTTGAATACCCTGAGGTGTGCTGGGTTAAAGATCTGTTGTGAAGACATCGCCCTCTGCAAGTCCTCTGTAGGGCTGGTCCTCCTTCTGTAGTTCTCAGCCACTTGTAGGAATTTTACAGCCTCCTCCTGGTTGCCCTTCCTATTGAAGGAGACTGGCTGGCTCCAGAATCCATGACATTTAGGGAACCCATCTGTGTTTGCAGTTGGGTCTTGGCTTGTAGCTCAACTCTGATACTTTGCTACATGACATACTGCCAATTAATAATTTTTAAAAATCCAAATATTAGGAGTTGTTTTTCCTTACTGTTTCACAGAAGATCTTTTAAATGGTGAAAAACTACAGTTTTTGTTGTGGTACTGTGACAATCCCAGCTGTCATTGATAGAAATCTCTTACTTTTAAGGAAAAATTTAGATTTCATTTTGAAAAGCAACTACTTGGGGGTTTTTTAATACAGTTATGTCATTTTAGGAAGACAGAATTATTTTAACTTTTGCATCAAAATAACACTGAAGCTTAAAAGTAAGTACATTTTTATAAACGTACCAGTCGAACAAGAAAGACAGACATCGTGCTATTTATTGTGAATAGCATGAAGAAAGAAGCAAATAGTTTCTACTTACCTTTTAAGTTACTTAGCCTTATTTTGAAAAACATTGTGCCTCAAAGGATAACTTCAAAATTGCAGTGATTTTACAAAAGTCGTGCTTGTAAGTCATTGTTCAGGAAAATGCATTTTATTTCCAGATATGGCTGTAGATCTGTGTTAGATGGAATATTGAAATTGAAGTCCCATAAACAAAACATGTTCTAAGATGTAGTTTTCTGTAGAAAGCTTAAATGGTGAGATGAGATAAGCAGGTTTGCTTCTCTCTTGCTGATTTGGGTTAGTTGCATGGGTTTTGTGGAGGTTGCCAAGTGGTGCTGTATGTTAAGCAAGGACTGTGGTCACCTACAGTCAAGGTAGTATTTTAATAATTCAATACTATGGTTATTGATAATTGTAGTGGAATAAATCAGGGAGAATGTTGTTCTTAGGTTTATGTCAACCTATGGCTTTTATTCTGTCCACAGATATGCTGCTAAAACAGTATTAATGTTTGCCACTCCTTCTCTAAAAGTGTTTTGGGTAAAGTTGCTGTTTGTTTGCAGAATTTATTTATTTTTCCTGCCTATCTTTCTAGACCATTAAAATTTGGTATATCTAAACCAGTACTTTCAGAAGATGTTGTATTTTTAGACACACCATGTCTCCAGAATCAAAAGACATAAATCATGGGCACTGATGTACAATCATCTGTCTTTCATCTCTTCTGTAACTTCCTGTTTCATTCAGAAAGAGTAGAAGTCTATGAGCAATGTGTAAATTTATTAAGAGTACTTAATTTCCAGGATGCTATTAATTTTTCTATTCTCTCTTTCTAAAATGTATTAAATGTTCTGAATAGTTTGGCAGTTACTGAAAGTACTGAGTGCACTGCGTTCTTACGAATGTGCAGAAGGGACGAAATGCCACTATTGCAGTTCATTTGCCCTCTGTACACTTTTAGATTACTGTTGTTTATACTTTGGAGTATATTTGCAAAAAAAATGTTTGTTTTGTGTTCTTTGCTTTTGAAAATCGAGACCACAAATAAAGGATTAGATTAGAGATACTGATTTCACTAAAAAGAGAAATAACATTTCCCAGTGATATACCTCAAGTTGGTATAGGATAAGTGTGTGTAATTAACAAAAAGAACAAAAAAAAGTTGGGATATAAGACCATGCTGTTGAATGGGGGTGGAGTGTTTTTTTGTTTTGTTTTGTTTTATTTTGTTTTTAGTATTGGCTGGACTGAAGCTGCAGAGTTCAGTCACTAAAACCCAGAAATGAGGAATCACCAGTAGATTGACATTTGAAAGCTTAGAGAAACACATTCAGGGCTAAGTAGAGTAAATCTGGCTTGCAGAGCTACACTTAGCTTTGACAAAAATATATTATTTTGATTTCAGGGCTACTGGTAATGTTAGCAACGAACAGTGTATTTTCCTTCCGAGATGGATTTTTTTTTCTAGAGGACAGGTAGGGAGCCAGTAGTAGGCACTTAAGTAGCAGAAAGACAGTGGAATTACAAGTTAAACATCAGATATTATAGCATGTATATCCTGTATGTATATATACAGTATATATATACAGAAGTATCCTTCTGTAGAGAGTACCTGCATTTCCTTTATAACTACTTCCTATGTATTGGAATACTTTGATTAAATCTTTTCTGAGCTTTCTGCTCTCTTGGCTGAACAAACCCTATTCTTTCAGTCTTTCTTCTTGAGTTCTCCTGCCTTATAATGCTTTTGATAGCCCTCTGCTGTACCCTCTCCAATTTTTCAGCATCTTCCATCGACTCTGGTTAGCATCCCATAGCATTTTAGAAGTTATTCATACCTTCAGTCTGTCAGTAGAGAAAAATCGATGTTCAGAAGCATTTGCTTATTTTGAGATTTGGCAGAACCTAGCTTACTGGTTTTGTCATTCCTTTTGTTGTCCTCTGTAAAATTTTACACCCAAAATTGGCTTCGGGAAAGCTGAAAGGCTTAGCATGCTCTTGATTATCCAGTGTTGGTTGCGGTCAGAGATACTGAGGTAAAAGCCCGAAAAACAATCCTTCAACACGCTCTCTGCTGGTAATGTGAACTCATTTGTTTGACCTATGCATGTCTTTTGGAGGGAGGGAATCCACCTTGGTTTAAAAATTGGCAATGATGGAGATAGTCTTCCACAAGCCTTCATATTTTTTCCATGGTTGTTGACCATCAGTGTTAAAATTTTCTTCCTCTTTTCTAGTAGGAATTTATCTAGCCTTGTCATCCAGCTTCTGGATCTTGTTTTTTTGGCCAGTAGACTGACAGACCCAATAGTGTCCAATTTCTGTTTCTCTCATGAGAATACTTCTAGACTATCATGAATTTGCCTCATAACTTTTTTGTCAGTAAAACAAATGAGTTGCCTGCTTTTGCACTAGCTAAGCCTTTCATCACTTTCAGAGTTCTTCTTTGAGTCCCTATTTGTGCTTCATCGACACCTTTCTTGCTACGTGGACATTAGCCTTAGAGGAGCATGCCAGGAATGGCTGCAGCAGTGCCAAATGCTATTAGGGGGCTAGGTCTACAAAGGGGTTAGTGTGCTGCCGGGCTCAGCATGGAGACACAGACTTCACAGTAAAATACCCAGTTAGCCTCCCCTTGCAGTTCTGCTGGGAGTTTAATGCACAGCTATGGGATCTGTGACAGGGAGGAGGGGGAAAAAAAAAAAAAAAAAAAAAGAGTCCTGTGTACCAGTCTCAGTTTATGAAAAAGTAACTATGTATGTATGGTTTGGTTGGGGTTTTTTTCTGTTGAAAATTTTAATCCTAATCCTTACAAGGCACACAGTCTGGAATTCGGGACTCTGCCCCCTCTTTCCAGGTGAGCATCCTACTGCCAAGCAGGGGATGTTGTTCTGTCTGCTCCTGGGAGCCTGGTGGTTAGCACTGCTGCAAGAGAACACGGCTCTAATTATGGTGTTAAGGCATTTGGCCCAGAAGACTTCTGCGACTTAACATCCCTTTCAGCTATTGCTGGAATGGAAAGTATTTCACTGCCATCCTTGCTATAAACACATAACCTGTTTCAACCCAAACCAGAACAGGTTCTAATCAAATGCTTGTGTTTTTCGTGCTCTATTATCAACTGCTCAACCATTCTGATCTCATAATGGGGTGATACTATTGTTAGAGGTCATTTTGTTCTGAATTTGTTAAAAAAAGAGCTAACCAAAATCATTAAACATCCTATAAGCTTCCATTTTTCTTTTTCCCGATGTTATGTATGAGGAGTGTGATTTTTTAATTTTACTCTTTAAAAAAGTATTGTTGTTTTACTCTCTCAGCAAGCAATTTTGTTGCTCTTGTAATCTTTTTTCATTAGCTGTGGCTAAATGTTTTCCAAACCTTGGCTAAATAACTACATACTGTCATTCTTTTTTTTTCCCTTTTTCTTTAAATTAATGTTCCTTACCTTTTGGGATTTTTTTGGCAGCTCCTTGCAGCACTGTAAAAGGGGTCCCTTTTAGAGGCACAAAATTGTAGCTGGGCAGCATGCATGTGTACATATGTATATTTTTTTTTTTTTGACTCTGTTCAAGAACGCATATAGCAAAAAGAAACAATTCATAGCAACTTTTATGTAAGTAGTGTTTGGTCTTTGCTTGTGTGATCAGTTTCTTTCTGGTAGCCTGGTATACATCCTTAGATAATGTTCTATTCTGGTGGACAAAAAAAAAATGCTAAATGCAAATTTTGTTATTTTCAGGAATGTTTCAGTTGTGAAATTCCAAGGCTACATCCACAAGATCTTGTGCATTTATCATCAGCTAGGCTGAGGTCTCCTGTTAGAGTACAAATTTTATCCTTTGTGCTATGGACAGCTAAAGATGAAGCTGCTACCTTATTCTTACGTGATGTCCCTGTGTGTATGCACTAACTAGTGTTAGTGTGCATCCAGATTATGGTTTCTGCTTGACTTCTGATTCATGAGCTTTTGGTATAATTTGTTTCAAGACCTGTAGTG